AAATACATAAGTTATACACAAAATTATATAAGTCATGCATAAATCATATCAAATGATCCTAATTGATAATTACATCAACAAATACGCATGAAAGTAACAAAAATAGGCATAAAGAAGATTATTCCACAACCCTAGGCCTTTATGTGTTTTCTTTGATTCGGATCCAATGAGCTAGATCCTAAAAATATTGAGAATTAAGGGATGAGTACAACCACTCAATAATCAAGTTTCACTTAACCTATACAGTTGCATATCAATTGTAAATATATATAAATAGACAAATAAGCACAGATATCACGAATAACACTCGACCATGGTTCACAAAACTAACAACCATGTGGCTGGGCTTGCCACAACACACTTTTCTATGATATTACACAAAGCACAACACGAGGTCGTAAAAATAACAATCATGCGCTCTTAACACATGTCGGACTACAAAATTAACAATTATGTGGTCAGACTTATATGCATAATCATATGCTAACTTTATACCCTCGTGTTACCTCTGACACGAAATCAGTAGCTATCACGTGACTATGTCCTTCACGGGCTAACCCAGCGTTTCACTTGTGAGGAGTTATCCAGCCAGGGTTATCTCACTCACTTATGTAATTCAATTTCTCACAATACTAACAATCATGAGGTGTCATATTCCTAATCTAATCTCATGAATCGATAGAGACTAGTTAGGTTTGAATTCATCCTAAAACAAGTGGGATAGTCCCGAATCAACTATGGGATAACAGCTACCTCTCGATTCTAACAGTTGGTGTCAAGGCAAGTTCTTGATTCCAACGGTCAATGCTAGTACCACATGGATTTAAATCAATCTACTCCTCTCCCTAAGTGAACTCCTGCCAATGATCATGCTATGCACATTTCTCATATAATATGCATTTTAAACAATCAATTCATCGCACATGAACTCACATAAACTCAAATATTCTATAAACTCAACACATAATACATCACAATTCTCCACCCATAATAACAAATCACAATCAATTTCATAAAACACAAAAGGTGGCATAATCAAGGTTTTCTTTTCAAAACCATTTTGCAAGTCAAACACATTGCCAATATGCGTCATTAATTTAAATCATAAATCATATTTCACAAACACAATTAACATTCAACTATGAAGATTATGTTTTCCCCAGTTACATCAAACCTATAAGAGGTCAAAAGTTTATCCCTCACTATACTAACTTTTCAAAGCTTCAACAAGCTCAAATGGTAACAAATGAACCATACTATAATCATACCATAAGAATATCATCATTGTCTCAATTTTGAAAATTTATCAACGCATAACTCCACACACTCTATTATATCAACCCATAGTCACTACCCATTCATACCCAATGGGCTCATTAGGTTCCATTAATGTACATTATCATTAATAACACCTCAAACCATCATTAATGCATATAAACCTTTCTCAACTACCTCATAAATATTAATTTTTAAATATTAAATGCTCCAATGAACCAACCACTTTTACAATCATCAATGTGGTGTTTCAATATCTTAAACAACTCCCATTATACTTATTTTAACCAATAAAATCGGACCCATAATCCTATGGACTAAAAATCCATCTTCCAACTCAAACCTTACCATAGATCATCATAAATGAGGGAGAGAAAGGAAGAAAAAGGCTTAGATTACCTACCTTAGGTATTTGGGAGCTTTAAAATGTCAATAATGAAAACCAATGCTGTGCCCTAACAGAGCCTAAGTCGAACTCTTTATTTTCCTCTCCTTCTCTTCTTCTGTTTTAGCACGCAGAACGAACTAGATATATCTAATTTTTGCCCATACGTCACGGCACATGATGCCCTCCGCACGACTCATGGCACAAAAGAGCCCGTTGCATTCAAATCTATCTCTATGGGCCACGGCATATGGCACAAAGGACAATTCTTCATTTTTTCTTCCCTTTTCTTTACCTGGGTAGTCCACCATCGATCTGAACCCACTTCTAGGGCTGAAATCAGAATAATTATGCCAAGTTAAGCCCCTCTGGCTACACATCTCATTAACTCACTAATTACTCTCATTAGGTTAATGTACCAAGATTAAATTTTTTTTGAATGTTATAGGATCCCTCTAACGAATGCCTTGAGAAGGCATGAATTTCATAGTAGGTTCTCCATTCTAAAAGACCCGCATACGAACAGTAAAGATGGCAACTTGGATTAATTTTTTGAATTGGCTATTTATTCCAACAAAGCTAAGCATCATCAATGAAATTTTAAGATAGCCTGTCAAAAGCCTTCTCAAGATCCACCTTGAGAGCTATAAAACATTTTTTCCTAGTCTTATTTCTCATAGAGTAAATGATTTCTTATGCAATATTGATATTGTCACTACTCTGTCGCCCTTGTATGAAGCTGCATTGATTATCACTGATTAAGTGGTTCATACATGTACGAAGATGATTGGAGAGAATTTTAGTAATGATTTTGTAGCTAGCATTGCAAAAAGATATTGGTTGAAAGTCTTTCATGCAAGAAGGATGATCATTCTTAGGAATCAAAGTGATGAATGTGTCATTAACCTCCCTAATGATTTTTGATTCTCTGAAAACCTTTTTGACAAATTTGATAATACTATGTTTCAGATAGTTTCAATAAGTATGAATGAATCCCGCATTGATACCATTAGGACTTGGAGCTTTGAAGGCTCCAATATCAAAAGCTACATTTTTCATTTCATCATCATCCACATCTTTATGTAAAGTAAGAATTTGGATGTTAAAGAGAGACAGGGAGCTCCTTTTGGTATTGAGCTTGGGTTTGGCATTGTCATCTTCTTTGAAGAGGTTGTCAAAATAGTCAACAGCCATGATTTTTAGGTTCTTTTGATCCAAAACCTAAGTACCATTAACATCTCTGAGTGATGAAATTTGATTTCTTTTTCATCGAATAACAGAAGTAGCATGAAAAAATTTGGTATTTTGATCGTCCTATTTTAACCATTTACACATAAACTTTTGAAATCAAGTCAGTTTTTATTGGAGAAAGGCTTGATTATAATTGTCCTAGAGGAATTTTTCCAATTTTCTAAAAATGTAATTGTCTCTAAAGTTTCTATTCTTGTCTATACCTTGCAAACAACATAAAATTCTTTTCTTTTTTGAAGATATATTGCCAATTTTCTCTTTCTTCAAAGTGGGAGCAGAGGATACAAATTTAGAAACCCCTTCAATCCAGTCATTAGTTATCCAAGATTGTTTGACCAAAGAATGAAAAGTATCATCAAGCATCCAAGCAGTATGTCGTTGAAAAAGTACCATGTGGTGATCTTGCTAAACCTTCTTATCGAGTTGGATTCTTATTAGTCGATGATCAAAACCATATTTAAAAATATGAAAAGAAATATTGGATATCTTTACATTTTAAAAAGAATAATATTACTCTAGAAATGTGAAAAATGAAGCAATCTCACCCTTTTCCAAGGTTTGACTAACGAAGAGTTGAAAACTCAAATGACACAACACCAGGCAAGACACGAGGCAAAGAAGCTTCACGTCTGGTCTTCTTCGTCCAGATTCTCCTCTATCTCAAATCTCAGACACAACAAAAATCAGAGGAAATCATAGAAAACGCCAAGGCAAAAATTTCAACATTGTGATGTGGGATTTAATCACCAACGATAAAAATCAGAACAAAAATCCCTTCGATTCAATCATTTCCAAATCTCGGGAAAAATTCAAAGCAAAGTATAAGGGAAGAGTCAATAACAGCAAGCTAAGGAATCCAGACTTAGCTAGCTCTTCAATGGCCAGAAGAAAACCCGACGGCACCCCTAGGAAACATGATCCTTTCAGGATCATCCATGAACGCATTTCTCAACTACAACGATGAAGAAAACAAGTTGGGACTAGTGTAATTACTATAATTATTACCCCTAAAGTATCATGACGATGCTGACACCATCGAGCTGAAGCTACAGAGCAAGATGTTGAGGGAAGTAAAATTGGTGAGAATGGTCATAGGCGACGATCACGACGGGTTTTGCTTGTTGGAGCAGCCACTCAAGGGTCTTGCAGTCGGAGTTATGGCCAAGCTCCCTAATCAATGGACAGCTGAAACACTCTAGTAGCGCAGGCTGCCAGCATGCAGATATGACGAGCCCGACTTTCCACCTTCGTGTGCTTGCCCTTACTGGATGTGCGCTTTGGAGGTGGCTTGGAATTATCAACAAGTTGGAGGTGAAGGTGAATCACTGAATCGGTGATGCCATGACAATGAAAGTGAAGTCGAAGACTAAAACCATGTCACATTTCATCGCTGCCAGCTGCTTCACCAAACAACCACTTCTCCCACATCTCCTGCATTCGTTGTGTTTTCAAGAATCATCATCATCATCATCAACAAATCGTGGATTAGATGGCTCCAGTGACATGTTGAATTAAAAATGGGTCTAGGGACACGTGGCAAACATCTATTTGCTCCTTTAACGATGTAGGGCAAAATTATTCCACTTCTAACACAAGCAACGTTGCTCTCTCTAAAGGTAAGAATACCCAATACTTCTTTCAGAAAACTTTTAAGATATTTTTACCTTTAATCCAAGAAAGAAAATGAGTCCCATACACACTACTTTATTTGTCACCCTCCAAAATCGCAAGAACTTCACAATCAAAACTCACACAAACATATGAGCTATAACATAAGAGCTGTAAAGCTTGTATGGTTTTGGAAGCCACGAAAACATTATTTGCTTCTACTAAAACCATGATCTTGATGGTTTCCAACATGAAAGTAAACATACACGTAAGAAACTTGAGGAGTTGGGCAAAGAGAAGGCTTAATACTCTCCTCTTGCACGGGCTCTTGCTATGATCTACATCATCTGCTCCACTTGCCTGAGCAGAGTCAGATTAAAACCTTGGAACAAGCAACATTTTTTGGAGCAGATGAGGCAGATCTTCTTTTGAATAGGATTTTTTTTTTTTTTGGAGGGGGTATATAGAAGAATGGCAGGGATGCATAAAATCAGAGATAATTTGATCTGACTTCAAATGAAAGTAACATAAATGCTAAAATCTTCAATGACTAAATTCATAGCTGACAATAATTGCAGTAACTTGGAAAGAGTGAAATATCTTCAGAAATTTCACATCCAGGGGCTCTCCCTCTCACTAAAAATGAGTTGCTGTCTCTGTAATCATCAATGCATATCCATTTGGCCAGACAAACTGTCTGCAATTAAAATGAATCACTTTGCTGGTGATTAATTTAAAAAAAAAAATGCCTGTACATCGTAGGCAGAAACAATCAGAGGGAGACTTCTGGGTTTCTGGCTGTAAAATGGCAGGCTTGGAGGTAAATAGCAATCTTGTATAATGAACAAGATTCTACGCTCATAATTTAATGCCAAAGCTTACCACAGAATCCATTTCTTGGCCTCTTGTTAGATATAATATCAGAAAAAGAGTCAACCAGCTGTCCAGCCAAACTACCTGGGTCGTCAATCAAAGTTTGAATATAGGTATTGACCACCCTACGTTCTTGCTCTGTTGACCTCAAACTAAACCATGTTAGCAATTTCAACCGAAATTCCTGCTTAATGTGGCCCTCACATTCTAGCCAGCGAATCACTTTCACGCAATACTCAAAGTTCTCATCCAGGGAACAAGATCCTTCAGAAATGCGTAAAGGAGATCCATTTATCAAAGTGCTGTCACAATCATGAGTCTCTTCATTTGTGCTTGCTACTCTTTTCCTGCATGCAGCATCCACACGAGAGTCAACAGCCGGCACTTCTCCGGTGGGCCTGTGGGCCCATGTCTGTGAGTCACCACTTCCATGGGATCTTGCTAAGCCAATCTTCTCAATGTCGTGAGAAGCAGCATCGTCATCAGCCCCAATAGCCTGCTGCAAAGTGCAACCGTTATCTTCATCCCTAGAAGACTCAAAAGGTGGTGTTAATTCTTCATTTAAATCAGGAACTGAGACAACATTTAAATCAAGGCCTCTTGACACTTTAGGCAATGTCTCTTCTGAATATTTTGGCCCAACCATTTCACTTCCTCCACAGCAATTTTTCACATCAGCACAGCAAAATCCCTCAAAACAACCTTGTTCTTGAGCCCAAGCAAGGCGCAGCACTTTCCCAAGGTCTCGAACCTTAAATCCAGAGTCTGCCATTGAAGGATTGGGCTCCCTTTTGGGGTCAGAAGAAGTGCCTCCAGTTTTATGGTTCTCTTTATTATGATTCAAAGAAGCTAACGAAGAAGGATTTTTTCTAATTATTTCAATGCTCTTAGTGAAACATTTGGCCTCAGAATGACCCCGATCACATGTATCTGTGTAAGAGACAATCCGAAATGTATATTCTGTGCAAGGTTGGAGATTTGATATCAGAATCCTCCTCTGAGATTTCGGGAAAACACAAACAGGATCCTTAGTGTGCAATTCCTCCCCACTCTTGTAATACCAGAGCTTGAAACCTTTGATGTCCTCGGAAGATGAATTAGACATTTCAATCAAAATGATTTTGACCGCAGAAGCTGTCACTTCTTCAAAAACAAACTTGCAGGCAGCAGGGAGTGAACCCTCTGTGTAATTAAACAAAACCATCATATACCAACGAAATGAAACTTGATTGAAAAGCAAGATGAACTAAAGAAACCAAAAAGTATTAGTTTTAACCTCTGGAGTCTGGATTTACATTCGAAACAGAGGCCAGCCACTCGTCAGCTTTCTCAACAGCAAGGGAGCACAATTTCTGCACATCACTGGCAATAGAGAGTCTGCTGACAATGCCCCGTGCCATCTTGGCAGAAACACCATTAACTGGACCCACTTCTGTTTCCAGTTTAGCCTTCGCCTCTTGCACAATCTCATGCAGTTCTTTAAACCTCGAAGTCCCATCTAGAAGCCTGTAGCTCAAATATATTCTATAACAGAGCACATCTACACGTCGAGCATCTTTTGCTATACTTAGCTGCTTTTTCCAACACCTGCCGTTATGGAACAGAAGTCACCAAAATAATCAAGACAGGTCTTAAAATTATGTTACCAGCATACAAGTTACAAATGGTAAAATGCATTATATTTTATGTATCCCAATTTCATATTTCATTATCAAACAAAAACACAGCAAGGCCATAGTGAAGTTCAATTCCATGCACAAGAGCCCCTAGAGATGGAAAACTGCAATTGTTGCATGCCTGATTTTCACCTGCAAGCTTAGTTGCGTAAATGATGGAGAGAGGAGCATATATTACAGGTAAAATCTTTCAAAATTCATGGTAAATTTAGAATGCATGCCAAGGAGTGGTTTGTTCCTGCAATTTAAATCAATTTACTCAAGAACTCATTAAATCTCTACTTTCATTCTGTTTTTTTTTTTTTTTATGGTCAGATGGAAGCATATATGCACAACTCAGAAGGTAAAGAATATTGCTTACCCAAGTATCCCTGTAACTTTACCACAAGTTGCACAACAATAGCCACCATCTAGTTGCATCAATTGCCCATGATCAACAACTCCGACTTTTTCATGTTGAATCGCACACTCAATATGGCAAGATAACCCACAGGAATCACCCTTAGTAGATTCAGACGTGCAGACCAACCAAAGACTAGGATCCTTGTTATCATCAAAAAGGTGACAGATACAGCAAGAGCACCTTCTACAAAATGTGTCATCTGTAGAAAGAACAGCTCTACAAGCAGAATTTTTACAGATCCAGGAGTTTGTATGCCCAAAATCCGAAGACTGGTCAGGCGTTGGCAGGAGTCTCGTGGGATTTTCTCCCTTTCTATGCTGCTTTTTAGAGGACTGGTTACCGCTAGAAACCTTTTTTGAGTCCTGTTTCTTGATTATCTTACTTGACTTACTTTCAGTCACCCTGCTTTTTGATGAAATATTCTTTTTGTCTTTGTCAAAGCATGTCCGAAGAAGTTCCTTTTTCGGACCAGATTTTAGGAACTCTTGCAGGAGTTCTGGACTTCTTGAGGCATCATCTGAATGGCCATTTTTCTCCGGCGTGCTTTGCACACTGGAAGAAAGGCTTTGAAGACCAGAAACTGCACAGCAATAACCAAACGGAAAATAAGTCTCGGCAGCAACAATAGAAAGTTCATAATAAAACCCATGTTCACAGGCATACATGATAGGCTGAAGAGAAGTAGCAAAGATTGAAAATTATCCGCACATCAACGATGCATGGTAAATGACTTCATTGAGTTCAGGTCCCACCAAACAAAAATGCATCTAAGAGTAATATTTGCAGAACTCATTTAAAATTTCTTTTTCCATAAATTACTCATAATGCAAGCAGACCAAGGTAACTAAAAAAGGTACTGCAACAGTGTTTAACTTAGATTTCCAATATCCGTGCATTAGTTATATTGCCATTCCTGGCAAACACTATCTCTAACACCAGTATTATATGCTTGACTTGATTTTCAAAACACTAAAATAAACAATTAAAAAAACGTCAGTGGGACTTTGTTAGCCTCATATCATAAACACATACACAGACATAAGAGATAGGAAAGCTGCAAATCCAAAAAGCTAACTAAGCGAGGTCATTTGTCCACTTTGGCATAATTTATGCATCAAGAGGCATAGATCTATCCATCTAATGGGTAAATCCAGCTCCATTCATCTATAAGGAATATCTTGCGGAAATCCACAAGAATTTAGTACACAAACTAAAACATCTGCATGATACAAAGCATTTTTTGCAAAGGATTGCATGTAAATAAATGCAGCGAGAATACAGGCACACATGGTTGAACAACGGCAATGCAAAAGAGGCTCCAGAGCACACCCCAATTGAATTACACAGAGCTTAACATAAAACAGGCAAATTATACGTTATCATAAAGAAGGGCATACACAAGTTGTCAACCATCTTTGACAGGTTAAAATTTTACGGAAAACGATCTTCAGAAAACACAGCCATGGTCAAATTTTCTCATTAAAAGACAGCATTCAAACCTCAGGAAGAGGGGATAAACAAGGCAACAAAAATAAACATGCACGCAAAAAGGCTGTTCCAAAGCAATCCAAACAACCAAAAGATAAATAGAGGAAGAATACTTGGGAAACTGAGACCAAGAAATCAATAACTCAAAACACTGGATGCTTTGGTGATTGAAAGATAAAGGAAGTGAAGAAATGTATTGAGAATGGCAAGCTATATCCGTAAAGTTCATCTAAACATGTAACATATTGCGGTTCACCTAGCAATAATTTTTTCATCTGAAACCACCAATGTTCAGAAGCAACCCATGTAAATTGATAATGCCAGTCAGAATCTACAATCTACAACTTATATTTAAAAGGGAAACCATATATCTCCTTTATCCATTTGATTTATGCTAAATCCGCAACAAAAGCATAAATTAGTGCTTCACATTAGAAAAAAGGAATGTTATTAAGTGATCAATCCACGACAAAAATGCTAAATATTAAGAGATCAAAACAATAAAAGGGATATTATTGAGGAATATTTCAAGCAAAAGAGGAATAGATTGCCCATGACACTGAACGAAACAGAAATATTATTTGAAAGTAAAATATAAGTAACACAACTCAAAAAATATTTTATTGATAAATAGCTCAGATAGGTTTTGTAGACAGACTGTGTCCACTACTTGAATTGTTTTTAAAAACCACTTTAATATGAAGTTTCTTATGCAGCATAATTCATGATATTCATACTATTTGACATAATTCCAAATAGAAAAGAAGAATAACAGGGAATGCGATCCAATATTACCCACAGCCACATGCACAAAAGTCCTACTAAACTGAAAAACCTCACAAAAGTGCAAGAATAACAGAGTACAGGCTATCAATCATATATGGTCAGTAATTATCATTATCTTATACCATACACGAAATTTTAATCAATATTGCATTCGTTTTTGACTCTAAAGAAATATTGAGACAACATATTTGGTCTCAACTTTCAAGCATATAGGGTATTTTAACAATAAAAATGCTTCAAAACATGATCTCACTATTTTCATTAGGACCAAAACAGGTTAAACTTTCAGACCAACAAAAGACAAAAGAAACATCAATTTAGCATGCAGCCAAAGGACCACCTTATTTCCAAAGTCTTAAATACATAAGATATAAACAAAAAGCTCTAGGTCCTTGATCTATCACATTAAAATCAAGATCAAGAGCTACAAGAGAAGAATGCCAACATTAGGGGAAAGGCCTTGTAAAGTATAGACTTTTCAATACTTATGCTTTGCAGTACAACCAAAATTGGACAAAACTTTAAAGCAACTAGGGCACAACACGTATTAAAATTGTTAGAATGAATTTTATCAACAGCAAAAAACTAGTAATACTGCATATTTATTGGACAAGCTATACGCAGACCAGAGAAATTTGAGATCATACTTCCATATCCGTAGAGTCCAATTTCAACTATATTCTGAATCCAAAAAAATAGATAAATAAAATATGCATTAATCGAGTTAATGCTCGGCATTACATATACAATAAAAAGGAAAATAGTGTTGTAACTATTGAAAGTGCAGGCTTGAAACTGAGCTCAACAACATACCTTTAGCAAGGAACTTTTCTTCTAAATCCATTCACAAAAGCTAAACCCTAAGCTGAATGGCCCTTTTCTGACAAAAGAAGAGAAATAATATCAAAAGTCTGTCATAAGCAGGTAGATCAATGTGGTGTCTTGTATGGGTTATAACCTAGCTTGATTTCCAAGGAATAGAATAAGTAAACCAGTTAGTGGATTCTAAAGGTTATACAGCAAAGAAAAGGAAACTTTTTAACCAATTTTAAGAGTTACTAGCTTGAGATAGAAATTAGGATTCCTAAAATCAAGCAATAACTATCATCAATGTTAAAGCTGAACATCTGTTCTGGATTGTCTCCACAATTTCCCCACGTCAAAGAAAAAGAAGTAAAGATTTTTCACGGATGCCATAGCAATCTAAATACTCGGATACAGAATGTGTTTCAAGAACTCGATACAATAGGCCAAAGGGAGTGACAAGTAATAGCACAATGTGGGATATAAAAACTGATAAAGATTTATTCCAACTACATTATAATCACAGATTCATAAAAACTTTCAAACAAATGATACTCCCCAAGAAAAATCACTTCCTCCCTTTATGCAGCCTACAATGTTTCATCGAAATCAAAAATATTAAGCAAAATGTGTAACAAGAGGACAGAATATTCCGAACTTAAAAGAAAAAATTGAAGAAGAAAATCATGCCTTTTTTATATAGAAGAAAATTATAAAATGGAAAACAACGTAATATACAGAAACATACAACAAACATAACATAGAGAGACAAGTAGAACCAGAATAAAATCGCAAATATCATGATGCGTGGTTTTTCCTATATGCATTGTGCACATTAACGAGTAGGGAACCAAGGGAGTTTTTTGAAAGCATATATAAACAATTTCAATACAGAAAATAAAAGAGAAGAAAAGCTCAGATTTTTACAAAATTATCAATGGAAAAGAAGTATAATTTGATAATAGAAAACAAACCAGTAATATAAACAAAGCTACGAAAAACATGGACGAATCTGCGGAGAAAAAGAGTCGAAAATACGCGAAAAGAATGAGTATTTTTCAGAAAAGCAAAGCGAAGTCGAGAAAGGGATCTGCAGGAAGCACCTGAAGCGAATGATGACGAATCAAGGGTTTTCGCGGAGCAAAGCTAAGAAATTTGCTCCGAAAGAGCATGAATCCAAACAGGAAATTCTTCCTTGTTAGTTGGTTCAAAGAGGGAGAGAGAGGAATTTGTACAAGTCGTTCACGTTTTGGAGAGGTGAGAGAGCAGAAGGGAACTCACGCGCGGATGGAGAGCGTGCGACAACATGTGTTAGTTTGAAAGGCAGGGTTTAGTTTTGCTGCACGGCTTTTTGGCACCCTCCTCCCTCTATCGACCCACCCTACTTGGTTTTAAATAACTTGAATGGACAGAATTACCCCCACAGGGTCAAAAGTGAATTACAAGATTTTATCTCAAAAAAAAAAAAAACCGAAGAATTACTTTAACAGACTGGTATGTAATTCTCAAAAAAAAAAAATTACAAGAATTTATTTTGGTCAAATACATTCTACTATTCAAAATAAAAGTGCCCTCACGTATTCTCAGATTTTTTTTCTGATGCGAAGTATAAATTGCATTTGGTAATAACGTGGTTACAAAAATTTTTTCCTAATCTAATTTCATTTATAATAACTAAAATGAGAGATTTAGTTTATTTGCCGTCTATTTTTAAAAAAGATAATGGTGAAAACAAAAAAGTATTATACTCATTCTGTTTCCAGTTATAGAACCATTTTTTCCCTCCAATAAATATTCCTATAGAAATGAAGGGATTTTTTTTAACAAATTAAATTACTTAATATACATTTAATTCCCTGTGAAGAAAGCTAAGTTCAACTTATATTTTATATAGGAGGGAATATTAATTTTGGAAATGAAGTCGATTATATATATACACACACTCTTAAAAATAATAAATATTATCAAGTAGTAATTACAATGGCATCATAATTCATAAACAATTAAACATTGAACTAAAAATCTAGCACCAAATTATTTTTTTTATAATTGCAACTCCTTCCATGAAAAAATATAAGTCATTTTTTAAATGATTGGATGTTTAAAAAAGTAAAGTATTTTTAATATTTCAATATGTAATCATTATATTTTTTCAAAAGGACCCCTAATAAATAAATTACTTTATATTTATTTTAAAATAAAATATTCTATTAAATAAATAAATATAGAAAGACTGTTTTATTATTTAAATTAAAAAATAAAAAAATTACAGTCCATGATCGAGGTTATTATTTACTTTTGAAAAACTACCAATAAATGTTAAAGCTTTGCAATAACTTTCTTAAAAGATAGACTGAAATACAGTGAGGAATCTCATAGAATTTAATTCCAAGGCATTTTAATAAAATTCTAAATCGAACCAAATGATTTTAACTTTTAAGTAGGAAATTTTTTATATTTATTCACAAAATTATATGATTTCGATAAATTTGGATAATAGATGGCCTGGCTTATACGAAGAAGATTGGGAATTGACACGTGTTAGGAGGAGGAAGGATTTCATTGTTCTTTTTCAAGGGCAATAACGTCCGAGAGAAATTGTTGGAGTTTATGAAGTGGAAAAGGGAAATAAGAAGAATAAAAAAAAAAACCGTGACTAGCTAGGTCTGCTCCTGCTGAAAAAGTACATAAAGTGGCGATTCCTCGTGTCATTGGTCCGTATGCGCTCCACCGTATTTACTGCGCGTGATTCTTACCGTTGCCCAAAAAAATTGCTCATTTATTTTTGTTTTTATTTGTGCGCCTCTTTCCATCGTACTATTATGATCTATGATGGTGAAAAAAAGAGCCTCGGGAACGTTTCCTTTAAGATTGTGAAATAACTTTATTTAATCTGAAAAATTAAGATTGTTTTCCGTTTTTAGCCCATGTATGGGCTATAGCCTAAATAAAATAATTACATTTAGGTGTATTCTTTGATTTTAAATCATTTAATCTATTCAGACACAAAACGATGCATCTTGCTTTTCTTATATGCATAAATATATGTTCTTTGTTCCATTTATATGATAGAGAAAGATAATTATTATTTTTTTTAGTTTTTAATGTGAAACTAGACCCACTCAATATATAAGTATCTTTCAAGGCAAATATTTGTTTGAGATCTTGCGCTTGTTTAGTTTTATGTTGTAAATCATGGAAAACATGATTTTGGTGGGAGCAGCTAGTATATGTTTTCACCAAACATTTGGGTTTATTGGTTATTGACCAGTTTTTGACATAAAACAAAAACACATTCTTATATATCTGCCAACATGGAATAACGAGTGTCGCGTGGAGGAGACTTCATATTTGTGCTCTGTCAACAATTGTTTATTAGTTTATTAGTAATTCAGGATAGCATAAAAATAGTAAAGATCTAATTTCTAACTTTCACCTTACTCGTGATTAATCAAATATAAATATTACTTCTTAAATCATTCTAAATCTTATTTACTTGACCCGTATTTGTTCCTGCCATGAAACCAAACTCGTATTTTGTCTAAGGAGTTCACAATGTTTCAACTGCTAAGCTAGTTTCTGTCCATGCAAAATAAATGAACAAATGAAATGCATGTGTCTTAAGAAAAGCAAACACGTACACATAGAGTGAGAGATAGATGGAGATAATAGTCAAATCGATGTTGTAGTATCCAGGCTGTTACGCGTCGACTAGGGAGAAAAGGCTGTCACGCAGGATAAACTATAGCAAAGCGTGGAAATGTAAGGACGACGTGTGAATTATGACATTGACACAAATGATAATCATCAAATCAAAATATATTCGAAGAAGCAAATTAAATGAATGATGACAATCGTATGATACAGAGGAAGAAGAAGATGCGATGCGAGTAGGTAGGAATCTGGATTTATTCGAGGAATCAACGTCACAGGCGACTACGCGGACATAGAGGACGACGGAGTTGAATTGGAGATCGAAGAATAGTATCAAGTTAAAAAAAAAAGAAAGAGAGAGACGGAAATTGAGGGGAAACACGTGTCTAGCTACAAGAATATTAAAAAATCACCGCGACGAAGGAGTCAAATTTTGTAATATATATATATATATATATATATTAAAGAGGCACGTCATGCAAAAGGATGGAGACGGTGGAGCCTTCCCCTTTGGAATCTCATGGAGCACCACAACCTCTGGCCTAAGTTATAGCGCTATGTTTTAAAATTCAATTTAAAGTTAAATAGAGAGAAAAAATATTGTAGTCAATTTGTTTTTTTTAACATTATCATTCTTTAATTGTACCAAATTGTTGGGAATTTATTTTATTTCCCAACACGTTTTATTGTTGTTATTAATTTTAATAAAATGTAGAATCGTAAAATCACTCATCTTTTACCAATCTAAAAATATTAACATGCATTTCTAAAAAAATGCTAAAATTATTTAAATTTATTTAAATTACCCTCTGGATCCCATTTTATAAAATAATTTTGGAGGTGATTTAATGTCCTAACATATTAACATATTTTATTAATGATTGTTACTCCAAATTTTCAATATTACTTCTTGTCATCTCATTTCTTAAATAAATATTTTTCTCTTTTTAATATGTAAAATTTTATTTAAAATACCCCATAAAAGATTCCCTGGACTAGCGATTTGTTTTTGAATAATGAAGGAAGGATTGGATAGTGTATGGGCATTTAGAGCACACAGAGATAATCAATGAGCACATAACTTAATTAGTGAAAAATTATAATAATTTAATTAATAATTTTGAGTTTGAGTTTTGAGCACGTAGCTAGTTAAATATTCGTTGGGAGAGAATTGCTGTTAATATGACCCCTCACGTCATGAATAATAAATATAAATAATTGTATTTAAAGCGCGCGCGCGCGCGCGCAAACAGAGGGGGCCGTCCAAGAAGCGTTATCGGTTGTTGTGTGACATTGTGATATTGACCACACTCATGATTTCGTCCCCACGTCCACCGGCTCTCCCATTTATATATCTTGAATTTGTTGCCCCACTTTTTATTTTTATTTTTAATTTTAATTCAGAATTACTCTCTACATTTTTTTAAATAATTTTTAATTTAAAATATAAATATTTTATAATAATTAAATTATTTTTTATTTTATTTATTTTTACTAGTGTCAAAATATTTAATATAATTATATTATTATTTAAAATTAAGAATAAAAATAAAAATATATCTTACTTTTTTATTATAATAAAAAAATTTATTTTTTTAAGATATATGAAACATTTAAAAATATTTTATAATAAGAATCGAATATAGTGTATTTTAATTATTGATTTTTTGTCAACAAAAATGTATTTATTTTTTTATTATATCATCAATCAATAACTCAATTCTCGTTTTTCATTCACGAGATATTGAATTTTTTTACTGTTAAACCAACCGCGTATTATCATTTATTGTCACACAGCTCATTTGAGATATTATGTAAAATATAAGTTCATAGTCTAATTTGATTTTAAATATGAATTACAGCATTAAAGAATTTTCATATATATATATATATATAAAGAATTTTAATAGTAAAAATAGCATTCAGGCCAAAAAAATTCACTGGCCATAAAAAATTATAGTACATCGAATATAAAATCAATGATATCTTTTGGCCTGAGTGTGATTTTTTATTGTTAAAATAAATTTATTTTAAATTATCTCTATACAATAATGATAAGGAGATATAATATTATATGTATAAAGAATTAGCCGTTGATTTGATAATGTAGCATAGGTTAAAGCATACATTTATTTTTTTAATTTTATATATTATTCATTTAAGTTTCTTAATTTTATAAAGTTTATTTTTAATTCTTTAACTTTAATATTATTAATTTTGTCTTAATAAATTTTTATATCAAACTTTTAAATATTAATAAAATATTTACAAATGTTAACATATTAAATTTAATTTTTTCAAACTAACAATGATACAAAAAATTATTTAAAACTAATGATAATAAGATTAAATGACTAAAAATATACTTTATAAAATTAAAAAACTAAACTAAAATTTTATATAAAATTAGATAATTAAAAATATACTTTAATTTATATGGCATAATAATGCAAAAGGCGAGGCCATGGGGATGGATCTAGAACCAAGATTAATAAGGGAACAAAATACAAAACTATATTATAATAGGTAGCTAAAATTAATTTTAAAATTTTTAACAAACAAAAACAAAATAAATTTAACAATTTTTCTGTATCATGGCAGGCAAGCACCCCTACTTGCCTCCCAAACTCGTCTTTACTATTT